ATGTCAAGATTAGGTAAGTGAAAAGCTGTAACACAGCTTCAAAAACGAAAGGGATTTGTGCGTTTCATTGTCTAAACATATGACGACGCCTAAGGAAACTGAAAGCGAAATGATGTCCTCTCTTAATTTTCTTAATCAAATCAAACTTTTTCTTTTTGGTGTAATCCAAAAAATTTTTTTAAAAAAAAAATAGAAAAGGGATTTGGACCCCGAAAACAGGAAAATGCAAGTAATCTCGCTCTCTTTTCATTTTTTTTTCTTCCTATAATTAGTTTGAGAGGCTTCTTTATGTGTTTCACGCAAAACCTTGTTTAAGGTATAATTCTGTACCAAAAGGAACAAATATATACAGGCAGTGCTCTGGATTTGAAAAGCGATCAATCATAAGCCCCCGGGCAGTTCCCTTGTTTGGCCACCATCTTAAAACCAAAAAACATTTAACTTACCTCTTAAAGTACAAAATAAATGAATATCCAAACAACTTTGCATTTTACATTCCAAAATTTAACTTAAAAATTATTTTCTTGCATGAAAAATTTGCAAGAAAATACACAGGGAATAAATTATAACTATCCATAGTTCAATCTTACTTTCATGAATTTATTTATTTAAGGGTTAGAGAGTGGTTAAGATTCAGTCACATCATTCTATGCATGCATCACTATTTAATACTCCCTCTGTCCCAAAATTCTTGTCCAGTTTGAGATTTCACTTTTATTACAATTTGAACTAAAAATAAAAACTCAAACTGGACAATAATTATGGGACGAAGGGAGTAAAATTCACGAAGTAACATAATACTACCTCCATTAATTTTGATACAAATCTCAAATTTAATTTAGACTTTTTATTTATAAAAAAAAATAGAAGTAGTATTGAAAAATAGATGGTTAATAAAAGGAAACAGTACGTAGCTAAGTACCTATATACGTGATATACTTCCAATATTTGGACGAGGAATGATAGGTTTGATACGGTTGGGTTACATTGATGTGAAGTTGGTTTCCTAACTTTTCTATGTACATTAGTATCTTAAGGTTTGGCATTGTATTACTTCTTCTCTTTAAAAAAAAAAATTAAAATTAAGTCATTAAGTTTCGAGATTTATACCCACGTATTTAGTTTTAGTTTTCAGCTATACGTTTAAGACTAAAAATGGTATTGCGTGATTTGTCCGACATGTTCTAAAAAGAAAAAAAATGTTCGTTAGCTAATTACATATACGTAAACATATGTTCCTCAATTAAGCACAAATCTTACCTTTAGAAAAAAGAACAAATTTAACTATTTCTTATTTCATTTCTTCATTTTCTTTTTCCTTTTGTGTCTCTTTGGACTGGGGATTTTAAGCAGCTTTATTTGTCAGCAATATTAAATTGAAATAATTTACTAATTTTGTTCATATATATCTTGATAATCCGATGTGTATTTACTTAACACTTTTAATAAAAGTTTGTCAAACATTTCAATGATTTTTCATTGACAGCATAGATTAGGAATTGGTGAAATGTTAGCTAATCAAGTCGTTCCGAACTAACTTTAGTTAAAGTTCATAGTTATTCTCGTGTAATAAATTTAAGTCCAAGTTATTACTCTTTTCTCGTTAAAAATGAATAACGAATCAAACCTTAATTTCCACCCTTAAAACAATACTGAAACTAATTATATGACTTCGTGCAACATGAAAGGATAGGCCGAATGCTAAGTTAAATGATTTGAACAAAAAAATAGTAATTTTTTTGTTATGGAAAAAAAAATTGTTGCGAAAAAATACTAGGTGCTTGTTTGGACAACGTTTTATTTTAGTTTTTGATTTGGATTTGAGAGGAGATTTAAAAGGTAGTTTAGTTTTTTATTTAGGAAGTATTATAGTATAATGACTATTTATGAAATTAAAATAGTTCAGCGACCAAAATAAAGATTTTACAATAGTATAACGACCAAACACAAGACTTTACAATAGTTCAGTGACCAAACGCAACACTTTACAATAGTGTAGTAACCAAACACAATCAATACTTTACAATAGTTCAGTGACCAAAACGAAGACTTTACAATAGTATAATGACAAAACACAACATTTTAAAAGGTAAATTAAAAAGTTGTTTGGATAATTTTTTTTTTTCATTGAGTTTTGTGTTTAAAAGGTAAAATGAGTGAAAATGAAAAATGAGTTATTGCACAAACGTTCATTTCATTTTGTTTTGTTTTTCTTTTGTTTCAATGTATTTGGTGCGGGTCTCAAACCAACAATCGAACACTTTTTCTGACTTTTTGTGACTTGGTGATTCTGATTCGTCCGCCTTAACGTATAAGCACAACGGGCCATTGCTTCCCGATCAATCAATTTCATTTACCAAATTTTAGATTGGTTGGTTTATTTCTAAACTTGAAATGTTGGACGGGCTATTAAACTTGCCTTTCCGTTTCCGATATGGGGGTTTAGGATAAGGAAACATTAAATTAATTAACGTGGCAATTTTTAATTGGTTTTTTTTTGGCACACCTTTATTTTAATCCAACTAATTATTATTGTCAATTTCATTAATCCTACAACTATTCGTATTTAACTGAACATTCAATCGCCTGGCCTATAATTTCTCCTTATATACTTATGCTCGCGTTCATCATATATCTTTCTCTGAAGCAATGTCTTATGCATGATCTGATTGTATAAAAGTGATTCCTACCCCGATCGTGGAAAACAGGCAGTTGCAAAAGAAAAAAAAATATTTTCTCCTTCTCATAATTATTATCCAATTTGAGTTTTTATTTTTAGTTCAAATTGTACTAAAAATAAAATCTCAGACTAGACAATAATTTTGAGACGGAAGAAATAATTGACAATAGTGACCTAATCAAGTAGGCAGAAAGCCTACCCGCCATCGATCACGGGAAAAGAAAAAAAAAAAAAAAACTTGCATATTTTATTGCATCAATATGGACTCTGTGGCGACAAGGAAAATATATTTTCTTGAAATATGAAGTCCAACCGGAACGTTGGCTTTCGTTGACCATCAAATTTCGTAACTCTCATTTATTTTTGAGAGGGACTAAATAAACCTGACCCAAATAATGCTGACTTCTAATGTTCATGAATCACGAAGATCATCGTCAGTTTGAGCAATAGTGTATTAGTAAGCCAATGGTCATTTTCAGTCTTCAGCTCAATCCCTAAACCAATAGTATCTCTTAGTTAGAATTAAAGGCTGCGTCTCTTCAGTTCTATTTATTTTATCTGTTATAAAAAAATAGTTCACAAAATTTTTTGAGTTTTAACTATTTTTTTTAGGCAGATAATACTATTTTCATTCCCAACCCATTTTTTTTTTCAATCTCCGCTTGGTGTAGTTAGTACCTATGGCCTATGGGCCGTCGGTGATCAGAATAAGCACAAAACTGTACATTATACTTTAAATTTTTTTTTTAAAAATTGAAACTTATATATTGTACTAATAAATATGATCCGCCAAATAGACCATAATTAGCTCAATGGATTATGTCGTGAAGATCCTTCTCAAGTCTCAACCGTATGCGATCATCAAGTGGAAGCGGTCCATTCGTTTGACTATGAAATTGGGACGAGACAAAATTAACAAAATGTTGTTTGGAAAGGGACAGATGCGCCAAAGTAAAAACCCAACACAAGGATGCCCGCCCCCCAAGTCCTTGCCTCGTATCCCTGATTTACTTATTCTTTACTCAAAAAAAATAAAATAAAATAAAAATCCCTGATTTATTTATCATATTGTTGGTCTTCATCTTTCCCCTTGTACATCTAATTTCTTAATAATTTTCTTCGTCTCGTAATTAGAGTTTTAATTAAAATAACTTATTTCATTTGTCTTTTTTTTGTGATGCAGGGCGACAAGAGTTTAATTTTGAAAAACATCGTTCCGTTTTTTTTTTTTTTTCTCTTTCAGTGTGAGGGAGTGATTATTATTTACATGAGAATATTAAATTTATCAAAATGGGACTAGATTAATTTAGTTGGAGTTATGATTGTTTTAGATCGCCATTTTTTTCTTCTCCTAACTTCTTTGATTATAATGGGAGTGATGGTGTAACATGAATCTACATATATGAACAACAGTGTTACTAACTAAAAGAAAACTGTTTATATGATTCCTAATTCTATTCATAAAAACATAATTGGAACTTATCCGTCATAAGTAAAGTTTGGAGAACATTTCTACCAAAACTTAAAAGCAAAAAAAAAGTTTATGTCCTCCACGGCAAAAAAATTACAAGTTCCACGTTTCAAAATGGATACCTTTTTTTAAACCGAAAAAAAAAATGAACATTCCCTCCAGTATTATAATTATTGTCCAGTTTGAATTTTCATTTCTAGTTCAAATTATATTAAAAATAAAATCTCAAATTGGACAATAATTTTGGGACAGAAGGAGTATCTTTTATGAAACATAGTCCACAAATACTCATATTACCTCTGTTTAAAAGGAAGTACACATTGAGTTTATAATACGAATCTAAAAATTTAATGTAAATAATTTTTTTGGAAAAAAAACAAATATAATTAAATGATTTGTAATTGTGTTTTGAAGATTTGTAAATAATGATTTATAACTCAACAAAGACATCACATCAAAACTCTTTATATTAATGTTTTTAGTTCCAATTTGAATTAGTCGGAAAATAATTTTAAATACTGCGCACGTATATATATATATATACACATATATGTATATGTATTATAAAGAAACTCTTTCTACTTATGTCAAAAAAAAAAAAAACTCTTTGTACTAATGTTTCCTGTACGAGTAGGCTAGCCAGGGAAGGCGATATGCAGTAACACGTACGGTGTGCCTTTATATATAAGAGCGGTGATTCCCACAAAATTTGAACCAAATAGATAGACCACACACTTCAAAGTTCAAACCCAAAATACGCTTTCAATTCGTTTTGTTTCCTTTATTCAATTACGACTCCCTACCGGTAAGCACCGTCTCTTCTCATTATTCTTTTTTTTTTTTTTTTTTGGGTACGTTTTTCTCCTTTCATTAACTTTATCATCATCCTTCATCTGACTTTTTCCTTTTTCTTCAACTTTTTACTCCTATCTAAATCTATTGTGTAACCCCCTTTTTTAGTTTTTACTCCTATCTAAATCTATCGTGTAATCTACTTTCTTTGATTACTTGGAAATGGACTTGTTCTTTTTCGCTATATTCAGTAATTTGCATGTGTCCTGTCCTCGTTTCTTTTTTTGATTCTTTCTGGGTCCCGAATCAGCCCGTTTCGTCGCATATCCAGCTATCGACTGGGGGACTGAAATTGGGTCGTTGAACTTTTTGATCGAACATTCTTGCATTTGGGAGGATCTATTCTAGGCATTGTTTTGAAGATTACAAGAATCCCTATGGTGGTTGATTTTTTCCCCCTTTCCGCGCATTGGGTATCTCATATTAGGAAATTGATGTTTGGTAAAAATTGTTTCTTTTGGCCTTTTGGGGGTTCAACTTTCCGTTTATGTCCCGTAAAAGAAAAACATTAATGTTCACTGCCAAAAGGAAAACAAAATGGTTTTTGAGAAAAATTTAACCTTGAAGTTTCTGTGGAAAACAAATAGTTTGCTTGTTTCTGGAAATAAATATAAGACGATAAACATTTCCATTGTCCAATGCGAAATTGCGAATCCCTCCATTCTTGTTTCTTCCTCCCCTGGCTCAGAAACTATGGTCTTTATCTACTGATTTATTTATGTCAATATAGAAAAAGAAGAAGAAAGTTATGGGCATTTCCAACAACCGTCTCTTGTCTTTTTCCGCTAATTTCTCCGACTAGAAAAAGCTTCACTCTGATCCGCATTTGGTGCGGCCCGGCCGCTGTTTTTGGTTTACTTAAACAGTATTTCTCACTTTGGTTCTTACGAGTTCTTCCTTTTTGTTCAAGACGGTGGGATGTTTGAGTTGGTAGCTAATTAAAGCTAATTTTTGTTTGCCTCAACTTTCTCTTCTTTTGGTGTGCCTTTTTCTGGGGGTGCAGAGTTTTGATTTGAAACGGCACCTTTCCGCTAACAGTGCCTGCTCTGCTGGCGACAGAGTTTTTTTTTTCCCCCAAAATTTGCTTTTGGAAGAGAGGTTTTGAGGGAAATTGTATTTGACCAACTGATAGCGACGGGTATCACGTTTGTTTTCTCACATTCGGAATACATTTTTTGGGGCCAGAAAGTACTGTAATTGAATGGCAAATAGTGACACGTTTATGTTTTCATTTATTGAAAAGTTATGGAGAGGAGAGGTGGTTATCTTTGGGGGAAGGTGGGGGGATTTGAGATTAATCACTCGATTTTGTGTTGTCTCTGTTTTTTCCCTTCTATTTTCTTCGATGAAATAATAGGATAGCAACCCCAGTAGGTTGTTTTTTTCCTTAGCCCGTGCAGCTGATGAGAAACCTTCCAAAAACCAAAAGGAGAATGTTTGATCAAATCATTAAAATTAACTGGACCATGGATCTGCTTTTTTATGGTTTCGGCTTTATTTTGCTGTTTAACTTGATAATGGGTATCGCCCATTTTGTATTGAACTGTCAGATTCAAAATTATGTGATTGGACTTCTGTTTTTTGATTTATTTTATGCAATTACTGTCCTGCTGGACAGTCTCAATGCAATTTACACCAAACGTTTGTCTTTAATGCTGTATCATCCCGAGTACACCGGCAGTGATGTTACTTTTTGGGTCTCCAACCTCAACTTTAATCTCAACGTGAATTTGCTGTTGTTAGTCAATGTCAATGTGATAAAGCATTTAAAGTCTCTGATGAATATGGAGAGTTTGATCACTATAAACACACTCTTATGTATTTCTAGGATTTCTTCTTTCGTGCTCAAATTGCTGATGGAACTCGTAACCCTTTGCATGTCTTCTGCATGTTGAAATGCCTACTCATCTGAGGGCTTGAGTTGGTTAGCCTATTCATCTTTGAATGTTTATAATCTTCCTATGGTCTACTTATGATATGCTTTGTTTCAGGGAATCCTACTTGGATTGATTCGAGTCGTGTGAAAATTCAGTTCTGAAGATAGCTTGCAATTGCATATTGATGGGCTGCTTCCACTCTAAAAACCATAAGAAAGTTCCTGGTTATGAGGAGCCTTCTGTTCTTGCTGCTGAGACACCCTGTGAGTATGCCTTTTGTTCCTCAATTGCTGCTGAAACAGCTTGTGAGTATACTGACATCACTTAGTGGGAACATATGCTTTGTTGCTTATTGATGCTTTACCTTGTTAATCTTTGCGTTGCCTTTTCTTTTCTTTTTTCTTTTTTTAACAACAAACCAGAGTGCAAATACTTAGGCATTGGATATCTGTTATTTCTCCTGCAGTTACAGTGAGCGAAGTAGAGGCATTATATGAGCTGTTTAAGAAAATCAGCAGCTCCATAATTGACGATGGTCTCATCCACAAGGTACTCTGGAGTTTGCTGTTTAAGTTACATTATATATTTATACTACTATCTACTATAGTATAGTTTGTGTTTGTGTGTTTGAGGAAAGAATGTTTGAACTAATATGCACAATTTAATCTCATCAGGAAGAATTTCAGCTTGCACTCTTCAGGAACAAAAACAGGAAGAATCTGTTTCTTGATCGGGTATGTTTTGAGTTTCACTCTTTCAAATGAATTAGTGTTGCTGATTAATCTTTTTAATTGTCTGAAACTGAATAACCTATGAAAACTACTCTGCAGATATTTGATCTCTTTGATGTGAAGCGCAACGGAGTTATTGAATTTGGCGAATTTGTCAGGTCTCTGGGTGTGTTTCACCCAAATGCTCCAACTGCGGACAAAGTTACATGTAAGAATCTATCTTTAAAGTACATGCAATCAAGGCTCTACTTCATTTCTTTCTTTCTTTTTTCCCTCCTGATCCATTTATCTTTTATTAATAATTTATTCTTTATGGCAGTTGCATTTAAATTGTATGATTTACGGCAAACTGGTTTTATTGAAAGAGAAGAGGTAAGGATAGCTACTGTTTTGTACCATTGTATTTCAAAGTTCTTAATTCTGTTCCAAGATATCCCTGATAGATTAAACAGAATTTTGATTAGAAACCTTTTTTTTTTGCTGAAGTGTTTTGTATGGGAATGCCGGGGTTTATCTCAATCCTTTTAAATTACATTACAAAAACAAGACCTATTTCCTGCGTCTTATGCAAAATGTTAACTGGCAGTTACAGGAGATGGTATTGGCGCTCCTGCATGAATCGGATCTTATACTTTCGAATGATGTTGTTGATATGATTGTGGATAAGGTGAGGACTTTCTTATGCGGCATACCTGTTGCTTTTTTTTTCGTCTTCATTTATAAATTCCTTAACTCTGGACTTGCAGACATTTAAAGATGCAGACATAAAAGGTGACGGAAGGATTGATCAAGACGAGTGGAAAGAATTTGTTTCAAAGTATCCTTCACTTATGAAGAATATGACTCTTCCATACCTTAAGTAAGTGCCTTAATGAAATGTAGATTTTTTATTATATCATCCCAGTATCTGCTAGCTTGAACTTTCTTGTCTGCAGTTCATCCTAATTCTTTACTCAGCCTAATCCTGGCTTCTATATTATCCCCCTGTTCAAATACATGAATGCTCTTCATAGTTCTTATCAAGCTTATTTTTTCGGGGTACATCAAAACTAAATTTCCAGTATAACTGGTGTGATGAACTGCTTTTTTTTTGCTTGCACATTTTCATGTCTTTGCATTAGAAAACAACATTGTGCTGGGACTGGTACATCTGTATATACAGTATGAGTTCCGCGGAGATGATAGATTATACTTGTGAGCTGACGCACTTGATTGGTTTGAGCAGGGATATAACTTTGTCATTTCCCAGCTTTGTGGTAACCTCTGAAGTTGAAGATTGGGATATATAGAATGACAGTGAAACTACTACTCAAAATCTACTAGGTAGGTACATACTCTAACAGGCAAACCACTGCAGCCGACTTTTAGTTTCGCACTGATGGCTCTGGGGAGCAATACTAGCACGATGAATCTCATTTAGAGAGAGTACTACAATTACGAACCCCGGTTCTGGCCTGCTGGTTTCAGACACAATCGACGAGTTGTACAGATATCTGAAGATTAACCATGGCGTACATTATATATAGTTTAGCCATGGCAGAGGAGGCTTTCATTGCACCAGCATAACCTTTTTCAGCCGGGGAAAGCCAAGCATCTAGAGGAAGATGAGCCGGTCCGCACTTTACAGGGAAGGGAAGGACTATGTGGTGCGAATAACAACTTCCGGCTTAATCTGGTTGGACTTTAGGCTCCAACTCCCAAGTTAGTAAAATTAGAAATTACTACTACTTCCCTGCCAGAAAAGTACTCCACTTTTTTTTTTTTTTTGAATTGTTGAGTTAGAACGGTACAAAAACTGTAGACTATCAAACTGAGTCGAAAGGAAGTATGTTTTCCTTCTTTTCTGAAATGGATGTAACTTGTAAGCGCAGAATGGATCCATCCATGAATCAATGATGACAATTTGAGACATATCTATTGAGTTCGAACAACATTCTTACAAACTACACGGTTTGACTTTCGGATATTAACAAATTATTTTACAGTAATTTTATGTACAAACGGAAGACAGATTGTACACACTTGTGATCAAATGATATGTAGACTTGTATGACCGATTATGTGTTTGTTTTAACGTAGTACAACAATGATTGAATCGTTATGGTTGAACATAATCATAAACATAATCCTGAAAATACAATTTCACAATTGGAGCAATTTTTAAAATTTTCTCAAAATTTCATTCTTATTCAGGGAAATCTGTTTCCAAACAAAGAACAATGTCGAAGTTAATTTTTTTTTTTTTTTTTTTTGGTGAAAGACTTAAAATAAAGGCTAAAGCCAACTATTACATTTGGATAAAGCCTTACAGTTGTTCTTCAGTAGCATATCTATACACCAAGGGAGAACATCAAAAAAATATAATCTCCTATCTACGCCTAAAGCGGCTTTAGCAAGAGCATCGGCACACATATTATTATCTCTATACGTTTGTACAAAACATACATCCCAATTAGAACGCAAAATGGTATGTTTGTACAATCTCGAAGTTTATTTTGAATCATTATTATTTCATCAGTTTGGTTTATTTTTTTCCTTTTCCTCTCACACTCCCAAAGTCTAAATCCCAAAAAAAGTACACAGTGCAGCACTAACCAAAAATCAATCTTCACAAAAAAATAATAATAATAATAAATCAATCGAACAAATGTGATGTCTCGAAGTATTATTATAAAAAGAAAAAACAAAGAAGACAAGAATGTAAGCTTATTTAATACTACTAATTATGAATTTTTCTTCTTCTCCTCCTTCTCCTCCTCCTGTTTTTTAATCCTTAATGGCAATTTCCGATTCTCCGAATTCAAAGATAGCTGCTTTTTAACTACTATCACTCATGAATTGATATTCCACCGGCGGTCAGAAAAGTCTTAAGAATCACAATTCAAAGTGGATTTGATTCTCTGTTTTTTTCATCCCGTCGCTGAAACCACACTATAAAGTAGAAAAGCAAACAAAGGGGGAAGGAAAAGGCAAGCAAATAAGTGGTTCATACAACCTGAGAGATCTTTGTGGTTTTGTATAGTTGTGGAATTGATGATGATGACCTTTTTCCTTTGTGGGCCGATCAATTTTGAATCTTCCTCTTCCATTTCAGGTTTGATTCCCGATTCCCTTTTTTACATTAACATGCCCTTTTCCACTTTCTTTTGGGCGAATAATACCGAAAAAAAAAAAGAATGAAAAGCCAAATTTAAGTAACTATGTACAATGCCTGTTCCACCGAGTTTGGTGTATTATTCACTCGTTTGGAAGGTGTATGGTTTAGTTTGTTGGTTGTTTTTCAATATCGCAAAGCGGGAATTCGCGCTGTTACATACTTTGATGCCTGAGAAAAAAATAGCAACAACATTCTTGCTTCAATTGATAACCCTATGGAGGAACGGTCTCTCATTTATTTTTCTTTTATCTGTTGTGAGTGGGTTTTTTCAGTAGTCAAAATTCGAAAACTAAACTAATCTGTAATTAAGAGCTTTTGAAATAATGTTCAATGGGAATAAGGAAACCAGTAATATAAGTGATTCTTTAGTGATTTATGTGAAGTGTTGAGCTGTGATGCAGATTTGTCAGTTTGCACAGTTTGATGTGTGAACTTTACTACTCTAGATTACCTCATTGGTGATGCAATCCTCCGATTTGCCAAATAAAAAGGGAAAGAGCTTGAAACGTCGGAGGTCTTTTTCTCGAGACATGCCACTCACTGATCCAATAACCGTGCAGCCATTGGATGACTGCATTGCTTTTCCTGTAGAAGAAATAGTGCAGCATCCCTTGCCAGGTTTTGGTGCTCCGACTTTGATTAGTTTCAGCCCTGATGATAGTTTGGTGGCCTACCTGTTTAGCCCTGATCAAACATTGAACAGAAAATTGTTTGTGTTTGATCTGAAAAGTGGCAAGCAAGAACTGTTTTTCAGTCCTCCCGATGGTGGGCTTGACGAAAATAACTTATCAGCTGAAGAGAAATTAAGAAGGGAAAGATCTAGGGAGCGGGGCTTGGGAGTAACACGATATGAATGGGTGAAGACTACAACAAAAAAGAAGTCTGTTCTGGTTCCTTTACCTGCTGGGGTTTGTTCTCTTATCTCCGTTCTTTTATTTTGTTGATATAGATCATTTTGATGCAATGGATACAATGTATTGTTCTGGGTTGTTATCAGCTGTGGTCCTTGTGGATCATCATTGTGTGATCCGGTGGAAAAGTTCATTGAGTGCTTAAAGGCTCTGCATTTATCTGAGTTTGTGTCATTATATACTCTTGAGTTTCTTGCTATTGTTCATAACTTAAGTGGGGTTGTTAAATTTTAGAACCCCGTTTACCAAATTCTTCCCCTTATAGTCGGAAATGGCTTGTTGTAGCTGTCGTTGTTGTATGTACCAAATTCTTGGATAAAGCTTTATGTGCAAAACTTGAAATTCTGAGACCTGCTTTGTGCTTTTTACAAGCCAATTGCTGCCCAGAAGTTCTGAAGTTGAGAATTTGGCCCTTTTTACCCTGTGGTTGTCTAATTTTTTGCGCAATGCACAGTTATATATCCAGGATTTCCGTCGTCTACCTGAGCTTAAGGTTCCTAGTGCTCCATTATCTCCAATTATTGATCCTCACAGTTCCCCTGATGGGACCATGCTTGCATATGTGAGGGATGGCGAGCTTCATGTGTTGAATCTTTTTTATAATGAGTCAAAGCAGTTGACATCCGGGGCTGATGGAAACAATCTGGTAAGTTTGCTTTTCGTGGCTTGTACATTTTTCAGGCTGCTTTATATCAGTTTATGGAGTAAGATGACCTATGTTCCAAACACTATGTGCTCCCTAAGTGTCATTCTTTTCTGCATATGCATTGTTCCTTTGATATTCATTCTTCCAAACACTACTTGCTCCCTAAGTATCATTCTCTTTTGATATGCACTTTTCCTGTGTGTATAATGTGTCAGCTTTTAGGAGTCCTTGTATGTGCTGGTATATACCTGTCATATGATTCTATTTCTACCAGCAGATTGTCCTTGTAATGCTCTTAAAATCTCTCTTCTTGTGCCGCTTTTGTTTCTATCACAATTTATGGTTTTCTGAAGAATATGAATATGACGAATATTTCTTGATTGGGTTTTTTTTTTCCAGACACATGGTCTTGCAGAGTATATAGCACAGGTGAGAAGTTTAACAGGCTTTTGACATTTTAAGTATTTTATAGAAACTAGTCAGTGGAAAGCAGAAATTTTAACTGGTTACATTGCTGATTAGGAGGAGATGGAACGAAAGAACGGTTACTGGTGGTCTCTGGACAGCAAATTCTTGGCGTTTACGCAGGTTGATTCATCTGAGATACCTCAGTACAGAATCATGCACCAAGGTAAAAGTTCTGTAGGTTTAGATGCACAGGAAGAGCACGCCTACCCATTTGCAGGAGGAACTAATGTGAAAGTTCGTTTGGGAGTGGTCTCTGTTGGAGGAGGTCCGGTTACTTGGATGGACCTTCTTTGTGGAGGCAAGGGCCCAGCTGATAATGAAGAGGAATATTTAGCCAGAGTTAATTGGATGCATGGAAATTGTCTTACAGCTCAAGTCTTGAATAGATCACATACTAAGCTCAAGATCCTTAAGTTTAATATCAAAACAGGGGATAGGAAAGTACTTCTGGAAGAAGAACATGAGACGTGGATCAGCCTGCATGATTGCTTCACCTCATTAGACAAAGGACTGAATAAATATCACGGGGGATTTATTTGGGCGAGTGAGAGAACAGGATTCCGCCACCTGTATGTGCATGATTCCAATGGAGTTTGCTTGGGACCTATAACTCAAGGGGACTGGATGGTTGAGCAAGTGGCTGGCGTAAATGAGGCTTCTGGCCTTGTATATTTCATTGGAACGTTAGACAGCCCTTTAGAGTCTCACCTTTATTGTGCAAAATTATTCCCGGAGGCAAACATTCCCTTACAAGCCCCAGTGAAATTGACGCGTGGAAGTGGAAGACATGTAGTTGTCCTTGATCATCAACTGCAGAGGTTTATTGATATTTATGATTCTCTGGAATCACCTCCAAAAATATCACTTTGCTCTTTGCATGATGGACATTTGATTACGACTTTGTATGACCAGCCGCTCAGCTTATCCCTGTGCAAAAAGCTCCAGATTGAGCCTCCACAGATAATGCAGCTACCAGCTAAAGATGGAACCACTTTGTGTGGGGAATTATACAAGCCTGATCCTGCTAGATTTGGACCTCCACCATATAAAACCATGATACAAGTCTATGGTGGTCCCGGCGTGCAGCTTGTGTGTGATTCCTGGGTAAACACAGTTGATATGAGAGCTCAGTATCTGAAGAACAAAGGCATTTTAGTATGGAAGGTTGCCTTCTTTGTTTCTAATCCTTTCAGTGGAAGCTCTTCCTATCTGTTTCTATATTTACTAATATTTTTCTCATAATTCCTGACCTTCTAGTACTTTTATGAGAACATGGATTTTAACTTGGCTTCTGGTTTTCATTATACACATGTAGCTCACTAATTAAGAGTTGAAAGTGATGAAAATGGAAAGATAAAAGCCTATTTTCTGTTCTTTGTGATGATACGTTGTCTTTTCAGATGGATAATAGAGGAACTGCTAGGCGGGGACTTGAGTTTGAAGGTGCTCTGAAATACAAATGCGGCCAAATTGATGCTGATGATCAACTAACTGGAGTTGAATGGCTCATAAAAAATGGCTTGGCAATTCAAGGTCATATTGGATTATATGGATGGAGCTATGGCGGCTATCTTTCAGCTATGAGTTTGGCAAGGTTCCCCGAAGTATATAGATGCGCAATTTCTGGTGCCCCCGTCACATCATGGGATGGGTATGACACCTTCTACACTGAAAGATACATGGGTTTGCCTGCTGAAAACCCTGCAGGTTATTTGTACAGCTCTGTGATGCACCATGCAGATAAAATCAAGGGGAAGTTGCTGCTGGTGCACGGCTTGATCGATGAAAATGTGCATTTCAGGCACACGGCAAGGCTTATCAACGCATTGGTGGCTGCCGGGAAGCCTTATGAACTCTTGATTTTTCCAGATGAGAGGCACATGCCCCGCGGGCTAAAGGACCGTATATACATGGAACAGAGGATATGGGATTTCATAGAAAGGAACTTGTGATCGATTCGGTTTAAATGTTTTGTGGAAATTTTGGGCGTCCAACCTTTGATTATAGATCTTCTTTGTAATTCATTCTTAGCTTCTTTAACTGTGGGATTGCATGGAAATAACGCACAACGGGGCTTTTCCCCTTCTTACCCCATGAGTTAAGACTGTGTTGTAACTATGCCCGGAACCATGCCCCCAGTGTTGTACAAAATTTCAGAATAAGATAGTCTCATACTTTCATTGGTAGATAGTTAATGATAATGGAATAATGTGAGTACTTGGATTAAACCTTTTTTTTCTTGCTTCTTTCTTTCTTTCCTTACTGTTATTATTATTTTTTTGGATCAAAATCCTGATATCCCATCATACTTTTCTCAAATGGGCACCTTCATATTAAGTGATGATGGTAGTGTGAGGGTGATTTGTATCCGTTTCGTAACAATTTAGCCCGTTTTATTGGGCTTTTGCCTATTCATCTCAATCTCATTCAGGATGATAATAATAATAATAATAATAATAATAATGGGCTGGAGAAAATAAAAGGAAAGAATTGTGCTCCAAGTAAAGTAAGGTATTGCTCGAGTTGGCCAATCGGTGAAAACATGTTTGGTAAATCTCAATTTATTGATATTATCTCAAGTATTTTTTAATACAGTACATTTTTATACATCGCTACAAATTCTGAACATTTTTTAAATGGTTAGTTATTATCCATTTTTTTTAAGTTTGAAGTGATGGGCTTTTCTAGTTTTCTAAGCCGTGGTAAATTCTAGAAGCCTGTAAAATGGAGGGGGAAAAAAAAAATAATGAAGAGATGGGCTTTAAGAAACTCCCGAGAATTGCGGTGAAAGTATGACGCATTTTACCGCTCTCCAAAGATAAATATCTACCTGACAGATCAACTCTTTCGGCACAGCACAGCACAGGACATTGGACCAGTCTTCGTTTCTGTCTTCTCCTTCACTCTCCTCCCTGCTGTGAATTCTTCTCTCCTTGTCTAGGTTTCGCGGATTTCGATCCTACCGCCGCTGATCAGATTGATCAGTCATGGAGATGGAAGATTTGTATATGGATTTTGGATAGAATTTGTTTTTTTTTTTCCCCCTTTTCGTTTCTTCAATTTTTAATTTTTGGTCCCTGTTTCTTCTTCGCAAACTCAACAAGACTTTATTTTAATTTTTCGTTTGGCGTTCCTTCCACTGTACCGGGTAAGACATTTGATTTCTGCTTCGTCTCTGTAATTTTTGCTTATTGTATTGAGTTTTTGGATTTTCGTAATAGTGAATTGCTGTTTGCTTTGAAGTTTTAACAAGAGTTTTTGGTTCAACTGCTCCATTTGCTTCTGGTTTTTTATCTAGGTTTTTGACATTTTTGCTTTATTTCATTTCCTTGTGGGCTACATTTCAATTATTTATTGTTCGTCGACTGCATTTTGTTAGTTCCTTGGTTTTAATTAGGTTTTTAGATTTTTCTAGGTATTTATGGTCAGGCTGATAGTATTCAAAAATCAAATTTTCTGGTTAATCTAAGGTACGGTTTTTTTTTTTTTTTTTTTTTGGGTATAATTTAGGTGAAAAGGAATAGTTGGTTCTGTGGGCTGCAATGTCGATCGCCAGTGTGGCTCTTAGCCCTGTATACGAAGATTGTTGGAATTTCTCTGGTCATGCTTTTGATAAGAATGGCGTGTGGTCGGACGATTCCATCTTGATTTTTCTTACTGTTGGTGGCTCTGTGATTCCTATGCGAGTGCTAAATTCTGATTCTATTGCTTGTGTAAAACTTAGAATTCAAAAACACAATGGCTTCTATGTGAAGAGACAGAAACTTGTCTTTGATGGGAAAGAATTAGCTAGGAATAATTCTAGTGTTCAGGACTATGGCGTGACTGATGGAAATGTGTTGCATTTAGTTCTTAGGCTATCTGATCTCCAGGCCATCACTGTTCGAACTGTGTGCGGGAAGGAGTTTGAGTTCCATGTTGATAGGAAAAGGAATGTAGGATATGTGAAACAGCAAATAGCTAAGAAAGGGAAAGGCTTTGTTGATCTTAAGGATCAGGAATTGTTATGTAACGGTGAGGAACTTGAAGATCAGAGACTCATAAGTGATATATGTAAAAGTAATGTTGCTGTTGTTCACTTTCTTGTGCGTCGATCGGTGAAAGTTCGAGCCAAGCCTGTGGACAACGACTTTGAAGTCTCTATTATTGCTTCAGAGTTTGATGACAATAGGACGGCTGATGCTGTAGGTGATAGAAAAACCGAGGAGGATTTGCTGGCTGAGAAACTTCAGGCTGCATTAAGTAAATCTTTGGAGAAAGAATTTATTCTAGAACCAGTTGTAGTTAATCCTAATACTGAATTGTCAACAGTTATTAATCAACTTCTTAATGAAACTTACAATGGACTGGAGCAAGGCATCCCCCCAGTTAGATCGAGTGAGGGTGCAGGTGGTGCTTATCTGATGCAAGATTCATCTGGTCAGAAGTATGTCTCTGTCTTTAAGCCAATTGACGAGGAGCCTATGGCTGTGAACAATCCTCGAGGGCTACCCTTGTCAGCCAATGGTGAAGGCTTGAAAAAAGGGACACGAGTTGGCGAAGGGGCTTTAAGGGAAGTTGCTGCATACATCTTGGATTCTCCAAATGGTGAACATAGTGGTTTTGCTGGTGTCCCCCCAACAGTATTGGTCAAATGCAGGCATAAGGAATTCAATTATCCCAATGGATATGACCCAAAAACTGTTAAGATTGGATCCTTGCAAATGTTCATGGAGAACTGTGGAAGCTGTGAGGATATGGGACCTCGTCTTTTCCCAGTTGATGAAGTTCACAAGATATCTGTGCTTGACATTAGGTTGGCAAATGCAGATAGGCATGCTGGTAACATCCTGGTTCATAAAAATGTTGAGGATGGTCAAGTCCGGCTCATTCCAATTGATCATGGTTACTGCTTGCCGGAAAATGTAAGCATGCGCTGTTGTTGCTCAATTGCTCCTGTCATTTTCCCTATTACAATTTATGAGACTCGAAACTGTGAAACTTAATTTTTCTTTCTTTGTTGTGCCCTGTATGGTATGAGCTCGTTTCGGTGATGTTTCTTGTAATACATGTTGACTGGAATGGTGCCTGTAATCTGTCTGCAAGCAGGGAATTTCCCCTTACAGACTGATTGTCAAGTCGTAGCCAATTATGCTTACACAGAGAGAATGTTTCAATGTTCAGTATTTTATTACTCAACTCTGGACAATTTGTAGCTGGGAATAACACAATGTAATCAAGCCCTGATGCTGAGATTGTCAAAGATAATGATGATTGTTTATACATTTTGTTTCTTTGGTGTGGTTTTGATGGCTGATTTGTCTATGGCTTCTCTTATGTTTCTTCTGTCCTGTAGAAATTTCCTTGCTTTTTTTTAGCTGTTTCTCAGAGTTGTTTTGTTGCAGTTTGAAGACTGCACCTTCGACTGGCTCTATTGGCCTCAAGCACGCCAACCATATTCTGCAGAGACAACTGCTTACATAAAGTCTCTTGATGCTGAGAAAGATATCGAGCTACTGAAGTTTTATGGATGGAATCTTCCCCATAAATGCGCGCAAGTTCTTCGCATCTCAACTATGCTGCTGAAGAAAGGTGCAGAGAGGGGGCTTAGTCCATTTGCTATTGGAAGCATCATGTGCAGAGAGACGTTGAAGAAGGAAGCAGTCATTGAGCAAATCGTTCGAGAAGCACAGGAAGCCGTGCTTCCTGGAAGTAGTGAAGCAGCATTTATGGAGGCGGTATCAGCGATCATGGATGGTTATCTTGATAAACTGTCAGCAAATTCCATCAAGTAAATCTGTAGAAATAGAGTATGTGCATTGCAAATCGTGTCTAGCTGGTATCGAACAGTTCCCTCATCTTGCCACTTTATCCATCTTGTAAATTTTGTCCGTGACAGTATTGTTACCGTCGTCCTCCATCCCTTGCCCATATGGCTGTTAAATATCCGAAACCAAAGTGTTGGGTGACAATATCCTGATCTAGTTATTTCAAACAAACAACTATCCCCTGAATCTTCATTTCTGTCATTTGGTATTCTGTTTTTATCCCTTTTGGTTTCTAATTTCCACAAGGAAATAAGATAAACAGTGCCTTAAAAAAATAACAAGATAAGCAATAACAGAAAACATTTTTGAGCATACAGAAAGTACATCACTAGTTCACTATGAATAACAAAAGTGCCATATGCTGATTCTTTGTCGGTTTTCTTGTTAAATTTACTACACTAAAAGTATGGTTCCTCTCAGAACAGTCCCTTCCATTAGTTGTTCTGATGCATTTACTCCTTTTTCCTTTCGAACAGCATGCCACCGATGCAAATTTCCCACCACTCGGACAAAATTAGCTACTATAGCATTTTTAAATACTGTGAAGAATCCAATGTCACCGACAAGACGCGGGACTCTTATTACTTTTGAACAATGGATTACTGTTGATTGGTATCCAAGTTTGATCAGACAACTGATTGGTATTGATCGATACAGAAATAAAGTTAGACAAGTGACGAATGAAAAAAAAACACGAGTATTCCAGCATGAAGCAGAAGATCTGAATTACCACATGAAAAAGGTAAGAATTTGATTTTTAAAAAAAACACTTGGATACTAGTACTAACGACAGTTGATAAAATACTTTAGAAGCTATACCTATACCTTAATCACCAGTAAATTGGCCACTGGTGAACTCAAAGAGCTGTTAAACTGAACGTATACCCCTATGGATCTCTGATCTTTACTTAGAGTCACGTACAGAGCTTCGGTTTTAAGCAGTAACATTTATTGAATTATTATGTAAAACAAAAAATAGACAACAACTATATGTACCATCCAAATTAACAGGACATATATTCAACCTCCTTTCTTCTGATTAACAATTTGGAGTTGAGAACATCCTTTCCACCTTTTCAGGTCGATAGTCCAGCCATGAAAGCAACGCCAGTGGAAGGCAGCCACGACGATCCATAGATAAACTGACCAACGGTGAACTTGCTGGCATCTGCAGCGGTGGTCAAGATATGATAGCCCGGCCATTTAACCCGCTGTCCCAGGGCCGCCCCGGGTCCATAATTCATGTACTCAGCATAGTACAATGTATCAAGTGCAAATGTTGCATTCCATTCCAGCCATCCCCTTGGGTGAACATGATCCCCAATGTTTGATAACATCACAACCGTTCTTGAATACAACTTCCACGGGCGGCCTAGATACGTTTGGAAGCTGCCTTTTGATGCTTCAAGATCAGATGTTGCCAAAAACCTGCAGGCATGGATTGAGATTCCGGTGTTTTGATTCGGGTCTTTTCTGTTTTGGGCTGTCACAGTGTTTTTCTGTGAGGGCATTGGTTTTCGGGCGTATAAGCTGCAGTTCTGGAAAACAACTGCAGCATTGCCAAATATGAAATCTACGGTTCCATAAACGTCGCATTCCCTGTAGAATTGACGCTGCGAGTGTACATATAAGGTGTCTTGGTATCCAATTATGCTGCAACGGTACACCACGGCGTGATCAGCGCCAACTCGAAGAGCAACGGCTTGATGTTTACCAGGGCCCGCCCAGTTTTCAAATGTGATGTCCCTGGCAATGAAGCCAGCACCTGTAGCCGCTGCATTTCAAAAACAAACATAAAAAATGCTGATTTAGTCCAAAAAAATATAAGAATGTCCAATAGAATTCGAAGGACTACTTAATTTAAAGAAGTCAGTGATTAATTAGCATCCGCGTAACAGAGTATGTAAGGGGGATCAAAGTTATACGAAGCATCTTATCATAAAATTTTACGCTGACTGTCAACTTAACGCGACGTTGTTTTCCTTATGGTAGTAGACAACAATACAAATCGTTGTACTAGACAAGAGTTGCATCTAGCTAGCATTGATATAATGACAGGAAAAACTGAACAAACGAGGAAGTTTCTCACGCTCAATAATGCAAAAAGCCCCATGTAGGCAAGCAAGTTGAGGATGTATAAGTATCACATTCATAACCAAGGGATGGAGATTAGAGAAAGCCCCACTTACATTTCCTTTTTAATTGAGGCCACCAAACTTAGTAGTAGAGGGTCACATCACTAATTCACTATCCTTACATTCTAGTGCAGAGGTGGTGGGTGATCACAATTTAAGAACCCAAAGGTGGAGGACTAAAATACAAGAATCAAAAGACAGGGTGTGCTATGTTGGAAGTTAATGCAAATATGTGTTCTGTGCTTCCTCAATCAAGAAAAAAAAAATCAAGAGGAGTCAGAATTAAGTGCATCACTTTAGTGACACGGCATAACTCACTTTATAACAGTTTTAATGCAACGAAGTAAATTCCCAAAAATATGAATGAGCCTACCCATGAAATTCCTTTTTCCCTTCATTTTGCCAAAACGAGAATATCTTCCCCTTTTTGAGTTAATTATGAACATTTACTAGCAAGAATTGGTTCAATCAATCTTGTATGTACTTTACATCAGTTAACTTTTCACAGTTAAGACGCGTTAGTACTCCATTCACAAATCATATAGAATTTGCAAATCTAAGGCCTAACCTTTTTATTCTTTCCAGAAAAGGCAACCAAATTAAAGGCAAAAAGAAAAAAAAAACAGGAAAGAATGGAAATGCAACAGTGACAAATCTAGCCTCCTGTTAACTTTTAGTGAAAACTGAAAAGGTAATCATGCCGATGGGAGGAAAACTGTTAATTAGATAGTCTCGTAACTTAATTAAGTAGTACTTCCTCCGTCCCACAAAAACAGCCCACATTGAGTTATGAGTTTTGTATTATTTTTAGTATAAATTTGAAAACTCAATGTGGACTATTTTTTTGGGACGGAGGTAGTACTATAAACTAACAGATTGACAAGCATAAAGTGATTGTTATGTGTTCCAGTCTGAGTAAACTAAGGATGAAGAAAGAATATTATTTTCTTCGTCTCAAAATTAATAACGGAGTACTAAATACTAATTTTTGAGGATCCAACCAAAACCGGAGCAACGCTTTCATGACTGTAAGACTAACAGGGAAATCATCAATTGCTATCAAATGAAAGGAGTTGATTAATTGCCCCTCAACCAACAAACTAATCTGTGATGGATCATGACAAATGATGGGTAATTTGACTAATCTCCCCCCGGTGGTGGGTAACTGAAAAAAAAAAAAAAAAAAGAGAGAGAGAGAAGCGCCGACAAATTACTACGTGGCTGCAATTGCACTGAAAATTGATGGCTAAAAAGAAATACTGAAGTAGAATCGTAGATACGGAATTATACTACGAAGTGCTTTTGTGCTGCTCTTTTTATCTTCTTCTTTTCTCTTTTCTGTTTAATTTATATTTTTTTATATAAAAAAAAAAGACTGTTAAATCAAAATGTACAAAAAGAACACATAGTAGCAGTGAAAAGTAGTAGCACAGAGAGAAGAAGAAAAGAGGGGAGAGAATATGAATATATACCGAATGACGCGGTGTGGAAAGTTGTTACATTATCATAAATGCTTTTTCCTCCCGAAATCACCGTTTTGCCCTTCCCATCCCCAATGAACATCAGGTTGGTCTTCTTCCTCCCAACCTTCAGATTATCTTCTTCATACCTGCAAAACATATTTTAAATTACTTTAATCTCCTTCAAGCAAATCAACATTAAATTTAGAGTATTATTGACACTGAATTAAATTATGTCCAGTAATTAAAAAAAATTATGCAAACTTTACGTTCAAACTTTAATATGAACAAACAGAACAGTCATTTTAAAACAAAAATAAAATGCTATCGTGAAATCGACAACACTAACCAACCAAAACAAATGGAATTTGACAAGCCATGCATGCACATGATCAGGTCCCAAAAATTAATTGCTATTTTTTTAATTAAAAAAAAAAGCATAATGATTTGAATATGAAGTCATAACCACAATCATCGCTATCTAAGACCAGAAAATTTTTTCACAAAACAATTTACAAAAAAAAACGAAAATTACAGCAGCCACGTGTAAGGAGTTATGAAAACTATCCGTGATGAGGTTACGTACGTCATTTCATGACCAGATAAAAGCCATTTAGAAATTAAAGAAGTAGAGAAAAGTGAAAACTGAAAAGGAGAGTTAAGGAAAAAGCACTTTTCCGGAGTTAAGATCACGTGAACTTACTTTCCTGCCCTCACGTAGATTATGATCCTCCGGGTACTGTATTCCGGCGCCTTCTTGATCGCTTCCGCGATTGTCTTCACCGTCCCGTTCCCGTCTTGGGACACGATTATGTCCGCCTGAATCGACGATACCGGTGATTCCAACAACATTCTGTCCCTCTTCGAGAACCATCCCGGGAATTCCTCCTCCGCCGCCGACGACGACAACAACCTCCGGTTTCCTATCGGAATTCCCGAGAAGTCGTCGTCTCCACCGGCAGCCGAATAAATAGCCAGACAATTGCTGACGAGCTCCGACAAGTCCTTAACTTTGGCCGACATTGTGTCCTTCACTTTGCTGCCTCCCACCTCATCGAATCCGTCCGTACACGTGTCCTGGTTCGTAAGAGCCGCGCTCAGCCAAGTCCGGACATCCTCGCTGGTTCCCCGAGCGCCGCCGCCGGAGACGGGGGAAACGGAGGTCAACGATCTGGCTAACAAGTCAACGGAATCAGCCAGCAGCTCCAAGCAGTCGTCGTAGGCGGAGCGGGAGCTGGTGTCCATCACCAGGTTGCTGATGTCGGTGACGTCATACAGCGCCTTCCCCAGGCGCTGCAACGTCATGTTAACGGTAATGTGAACGAGGTCCTTGTCGGAGGCCGTGAGTGCGCCGGGAAACTGGACGAGCGAGTCGACGCAAAGTGCTGGGAACCGGGTTTTGCTGCACGTGCGCGAAATGGCCCGTGACGGCTTGCGGTGGACGCCGTCGGCCCCATTACCGCTGGCTGACTTGTTCCTCAGGCTAACCACCACTCCGGCCGAGACGGCGGAGGCCACGATGAGGACGGCGGCAAGAATTATGATGGGCTTGAGTTTGGTTCGCCGTGGTTTTGCCGACGTGGCGGTGGCGGCTTCTTCTTCTGATTGGAGGTGGCGGGTGGAGGATGACTCTCCTCCCTCCGATACTAGCTTGCCGTAGCCCATTAATCGGTTTCAATGACGAAGAATCAACTATACGCTTTCAATGAATAAATTTAGAATTCAAAATGCATCAGTTTGAAGAAGATTATTTGCCACTTTGGCCAAGAAATCAAATTGAAGTGAGTAGAATTAATGGAGTGTGGAAATATGAAGAGAAACTAGAGAAGTGCTGTATGTGGACGGTGGTGCTGACGGTGGTCTATAAATAACAAGATTAAGATTATGTTTTGTAAGTTGAAATTATGCAATATTTATAAATGAAAAAAAAAGGACAGTGTACAAAAGAAATAACAAAACCATATAAAGTTGATGATTCTTTTATGCTATTTGTGACTTGATGTGATCCGCCTTTATAATTTACTACTACTACAAAGGGTCTTTGTAATTTTGAAACCATTTAGATGAAATAATGATGCACGAAGTCATGAACATGCTCTTTTTCTATATATATTATTGGTCCAGAACATGATTATAAGAATACAATGTACGTACTTGGAAAATATTCCCTTGGCAACCACATATCATTGCACCCTAACCAAAGCTGATTTTCTACAGGAGGAATTAAATTTTTATGAGCAAAAAGGCGATTCAAACAATTATAAACAAAAAGGTGTTCATCCTTTTTAATCAGGTTTGGAGCTAAAAGGCGGATAAAGATCGTTTTATCCATTTTGATTAATTTGGTCATTCATAATAATAAAATGGCTAGCCTCGTGAGATCATGAGAGTGGATGTTTATAACCAGGTTCGAAAAATTGCGTGAAATAATTATTTTTAAAAATTATCATTCTATATATTTCACTATTTACAGCGAATTTACATGTGAAATTTCTCTATATTTTTAACCGTTTTACTTATTCATCGTCTCTCATTCAACCAAGCTATATAGTTTGTTCAATTAAAACAAAACAATAATTTGATAAGTTTTAGTTACATTTTAGTGTGAGTCTACCATTATTAACAATGATAAATCTCTTCGTTGATGATAGGCATTTGAGGAGTTGATCGGTAAATTTAAAATTATTTTATGTCCGTCATAAATTTCAAACTCCTGGCTAATAACAAAAGATCGATGTGTTCTTACCGCTCAATCCCAACCATTGAAGATTAGATTAGACATAATATTTGATTGATAGGAAGTTGGAAACTATTTGTGTATTTGTGATGGGGAATAAAGGAAAAGAGAGGAAGTTTGGTGCGAGGTCGATGTCTAGAGGCCAATTAGCTGGCCTCTACTAGTTTTCCTACAAAGCAGTAGCAGTAGCACACTTGTCTTAATATTTCTTTTTAACAGTGGAGCTGTGGGTCGAGTCTGAGGGCGACTTGAATACTAAGAATGTTAATTAGCAGTAGTTTACGTTTTTATAATTGACTTGGTTAACTCATTCAGACCATTTCTACATAATCTGACATTAAACAAAGTACAGTAGAGTATGTCGGAAGAATTTAGACTAGCATATACATGTGCGCTTCTATATTTTGGCTTGCTGGCGAGCTTTTATACAATCATATATATTCCATTCCTTTTGACTAATTGAATTGAATATAATGTACGTTCTTTTTACTTAACATTGTTGAATTGATTACGCCATCAAGGAAACATATGGTTGACTTGTTAGCGTTGGGTATATTCTTTGTAACTATCTCGTACGTATAAATTATAATCAGTGATGTACCTGACGAAATTATGAGATAGATGGATACGATCATACTACTGATTTTTGTAGTTAAAGATATGCAAAATGTCAACCAGCAAAAAAAAAAAAAAAAAACTACGAACTATATACTTTTAACTTCTGTTTGCATCTCCTTTTAAAATATTTTAATATTTATTAATTATTTTCGTAAATTTTCTCCTCTTTTGTAAAATCTTTAATCCGTTACTGTCTTCATGTTTCGATTGCAGGAAAAGAATCTATCTCCGTCCCACAAAAATAGTCTACATTGAGTTTTTAAATTTGTACTAAAAATAGTACAAGACTAAAAAAAACTCAATATACACTATTTTTGTTAGGACAGAGGGAGTAGTATTATAATGAAATACGGCTAGAACCGCTTTTCAGTTTTCAAGAAACTCGTCCTCTACTCCTCTTCGTGGGTTTTATATATATATATATATATATATATATATATATATATATGTCTCAAGACATTGAAATTTGAAAACAATGCTGCACATTACTACCAGCAATGGCAACGAACCCATCAACATCGTGAATTCAACTTGATTATTTGTTTAATAAAAGTAATGTTTTGTTTATTAAGGGTATACATAACAATGGATTTGAAATTTTGAACGACCAGCCTTCTTTGCTTGTCTCTCTTCCAATTTCCAAGATTTTATTTATTTCATTGGCCTACCTTTTTATTTAAGATAAATTTTTATACCGATTAAACTTTAAATTAAGACGAGGTTCTGCTGGACAAAAATGTGGCACACGACATATATTGCTGGTTAATTCATACTGCATGATAAAACTAGATTACACTAAATTACTCCATATTTTTTTAAAAAAAAATGAATGTAAATACATGTTGACTGATGTATGAAGTTGAATCTATACCTACCATGCATTGACTGAGGAGTTTCTTTGCTTTACTCCAACAGTCCAACTAGCTAGCGGATGAGTAATAATAATACTCAATTTTGATTGATTGGGGGAAGCTGGATAATATAGCGACCTCAGGACCAATAGCAGGGATTGTGAATGGAAAATTTTTATTGGGTTAAATAAAGTTGAGAATAATGATTACTCCTCCAAACAAAACAAACATATATGTATATATATATATATGCAGAAATAATTTATTAATGCAAACTTAATAACAATAAATTTTATTGTATTTTACAATCTATAATAATATTATAGTTTGTGTAGAACGTAGCAAGTAGTTTTCAAAATGACTTGATTATAGTTTCATATATTATTATTAGGTTATAGTTTGTGTAGAACGTAGCAAGTAGTTTTCAAAATGACTTGATTATAGTTTCATATATTATTATTAGGTTAAGACCATGAACAAAAAGGTCTATTAGTCGACTTGGGTGAATTACTCAACTTTTGTTGAATTAGTTCCCTTTTTTTAAAAAAAAAAATTATGTGATAAATTAAAATAGTATAATGTGTTTTTTCGACGGAAGAAAATAGATACATATTATACGAGACAAAATCAGACTCTTATTTTCCAGCATTTAAAGGATCAATATATACCCAGTTAAGCTACCTAATACGATACCTTTTTTTTTCTTTTTCTTTTTTTCGGGGGTTAATCCTTAAGATATTATTTTGTACCGGCCGGCATCGACCGGACCACATAAGTACGTAGTTTTTTGCTGGACCATATTTGAACGTAATGAACATGCAATTTATGGTCCAAATCTTCAATTTTTCATTTTTGTATACGCTAAAATGTAGACATGTTAAGGGGCATTTCGTTTATTAAATTCATGCACTGCTGGTCCGATGCTTTTAAGTTACTCAAGTCATTAATCAAGAAAGTAATAATCATTGGATGTAGCAGCAGTATATTCCTCCCCTAATTATATCGCCGTTTATTTTCTGCTGTCGGTGAAGTTTGAAGAAGTACGTACGTGAGGAAAAATTGAAGTAAATTAGTAGTATACGAAATATCAAACCTGGCGTCTCCATAATTACGACCTTACGTTTCACTATTACATGTTGAAATCTAGGACTGAAGAAATAGATTGGTTAAAATCAAGTGGCACAAAATTAGAAAATGGCTACAGAAACGTCCAACCATAAGTTCAGTAACTATAAATAGGTTGGTGAGAATTAAATAATTCAACCCCTCTTTATAAGACCAAAATAATTTAAGGGTAGTCTGATTCATAGTAGTAACATTATTGTCCTAATTGAAAAATCCTACGAATTGCCATTAACTTTGTAGGTACTAGTTTGACTTCAATGCTGCAATTATGTGGACATTCTAGCCTTATCTTCTTTGTTCACTTCTGGACGTCTGTGAATTCCTTTTTTTTTTTTAATTTTTTTTTGATAAATTGTGAATTCCTTTTTTCTTTTCTCATATTCTGGAAGAGTGAGTACTGGGAATTAATTTGATCACATACAAATACTTTATTTTTTTTTTAAAAAAAAAAAAGAAGGAACAAGGGTTACAAAAAGTGTGATGTAAGCATGATGTATGGAGGTTCCTCTTCCAGTGATCAATCTCATATATGTATATCTTATGGAGAAGATGGAAACTTTCGTTATCCAGATAGTATCTTTCCAGTTATAAAATAATATTTAATTTTCTGAAGTTCTGGTGGTGGTTCTGGTTAAGTGATTCTCAAATTGTAAAGTGTACAAAGACATATGCCAAATGCTTTTCTGAAGCACCTTACTTCATGATGCCACGGGCTGACCATTAATTTTATTTTTTTTCCCTTCTTTTTTGTGTAAGATACACCAAAATGCGCTTACAACTTTTACTTTCAGTTCACCTTTTTTAAGCCCTGGCTAGAAAGAACGTAACGAGGAAGAAAAGCCAAAGATGATTGAACCAGAAGTAAGTATACATGAGTAAGGAATCATAGTTACATTGAAACTGACTTCAAAAGACATGAAAAGTGCCCTACAGATTTTAATATGATAGTACTATTTTTTTTTCATCCATTAAGTATAGTTCCAGTAAAAAAAAAAAAAAAAAACAAAGAAGAAAACTGAGTAAATGTTGTCCAAAAAAATTTATACTCTATTAGTGTGTTCTTTTAGAGCAATTGGACAACAACAAAGGGAGTAATGACCAATTAAGCCATTAGAGACAACCTGGAAACCCTACAAAAACTAATGTAAACAAAGATAGATGTACATGTTACAGTTGAGCTGCATTCGCTAATTAATTCACGGCCCTTTAATCTCGAGACATTGATAATTCCATTATGAGTGTACCATGCAAGTAGTATTAATATTTGTGGCTCACAATCCAGTTTGGATTGCGTGGCGGGCATATATCTTCAAGGCTAACATGACCCTATCGGTTTTTTCTTTTTCCTTTTTTTTTTTTTTGCAAAATCTAAAAATTCAATTATTGAAAATGATATAAATTATTATAAAGCGCAAATAATTTGCATTATAGTCACCACGCTACATATAAAAATTGAAAACAATTGCCGGCCGGCCGTCTTCAACCTCAAATTAGAATTTGCAGGCTTTTTTCACAGAAAAATAAACAAAGAAACAGACTCAGGAAACTGGAAACGCACATCTCAATGCATTTTCTGTTTCTTCATTGCTGGTCTAAGTACGGTTTTTTCCTCCTTGTATTGTTGGAGTACAATGTTAGATTTGCAAAAAAGAAGGAACATTGCTGTATTATACATCCATCCAACATAATCTTACATGGTTTCACTAAATTTTATAACTACAAAATAAAAAAATCCAAACAAAACCCGAATGTCAGGTCTTGATTTGTGCATGTTTTTTTTTTCTTTTAATTTTTTGGGCTGAATTATTTCAATTATTAATGGGCAAGTAGGTGGTCTATATAGAATGTAAACGGACAACAAAGGAGTCGAAGAGCATGTGCAAATTTCCACGGTTACAGGGACACAGGGGAACATTAGCTCAAGCCAATCACATGGTTGACTTGACTCTGTTCTGATTTATTTTCTCTCATTTTACAAAAAATTTCTGCTTGTGATTTTTTATTTTTTATTTTTTTTCTTTATAAATCTCCCACGATGAACCAGGCTGCGGTATTTGATTTTTGCTTTTTTAAAAGATAAATTTACCAAACTTCATTTAAACTTCATACTCAACAAGTAATCATTACTAATATAAGTTAACGTAGAACAATCATCTTGAAAAGAAATGAGTATCTGATTGAACTTAACAAGAGCTAACTAGATGTTCCTAATGTTTTTCCTCTCAAAAAAAAAAAAAAAAAGATGTTCCTGATGTTTTAGTTTTGGTAAAGGAAGGAACGAAGCGAAGCAAATTAGTACGTATCATGATTCTCAAGAAATGGGCGGGCATAATAAGTGCCAATGCCAGGAAATCAATATTAGGAATGCGAAATTTAGACAAAAATACTAATGACATTAAGCAATCAATGCATGGAGTGCCAAAAGTTTATCCCTCCGTTCCAAAATAAGTGTCGTCTTACACTTTACACATAGTTTAAGAAACTCTTAAATAGTGTAATAAAATTACTTGAATATCCTCAATCAATCCTATTATAAAATTGTCCACTAATAGCATCAACTCTTTTGAGGGTAATTTTGGAAACTTTTGACAAAAAGTGCATTGAAATGTGAGAACAACACTTATTTTGGAATTTCTCCATTTTACTAAAACGATATTTATTTTGGAATGGAAGGAGTATTTAACACATAATTTCTATTTAAAATTTAGGATATCCCTACTAATTACAAAAAATTGAACAGGTGCTATAGCACCCCCTCCGTCCCCATAGCTCCGCCACTACATAATTAGCATAATTCCCCCATAAAAAGTCAAAACCAATTAGCCATAATAATAACGTTGTATTAGAACTAAAAAATTTAACTGCATCATTTCAAAACAAAAGAAAAAATACTAATGGTAAGGAAGAAAGAAAGTGCAAAAACTAACCAATGTCAGCACTAAACGTGGAGGATCCCACCTTTTTAATTAATGTATAGATCATTATCGGCATCGTCATCAGTCCGTACATTCAATAATCGACATTAAGATCCTTGCAATAATCATCTGCTCATCTCTTGTATTATCAACACATTCCATTCGTCATTGTCCTCTCAAAAATATATTGTTTCTTTTTTTTTTTTTTTTGCTTTCGATACTTCTAGAAACATTAATACTGTTAATACATAGATACATACACATTAAAAATAAATTTGCGATAAAAATTATCATGCAAAGCTTCGGTTTTAACAACTAAAAAAATTTGTATTCGACAACTCAAAATTAGAAGTAATTGATTCATACATAATGAGAGTAAAGAAACACATGTATAACATCAATTAGACATCTTTTTTTCCAATCAAACTTTATAACCTAGAAAAGGTTAACAAACTATATAGTAGTAGTACATCGATCAGAATTAATCAACTGTTGTGAATTGTGATTTCGTTATGCTCATTCATTGATTCCAGCTATTTTTGTTGGTGCAACCTATGGAAATTCGAGAAATTTCCTTTTCAATTTGACATCAACTGATGCTAACATCTTTCACGGATCAGTTTAATAGAGACACAACACACTATATTATATTAATCAAAATATTGTGACCATAAAATTACCAAAAGTTCCGCATCAATTTGATCTTGTAATTGATGCTGACACCCTTCCAAAAATGAAAAAATTGATGCTGACATCCTCTCATGAACTTTAGCAGCGCCACCAGTTATTCAAGTTTAGCTGACCAGTAGTGTAAGCAGATGTGATTTTTATTTGAACATGACTATTTGCAAAAGTGTTCAAATTTGGAAATTATAAGATATTTGTTTGATTGGAAATAATATACCTACGCTCAAGATTAATGGTTACCAATTAATTAATACTATTACTATTAGTTTAATCTAGTGCTGCCTGAATTTTGTTGCTGCGTACATGCATCATAAAGCTATTTTTCTTTCCATTTTCGACAAAGTATTCAATCCTTTGGAGGCAAAAAATAAAATAAAATACAATGTAGAAGTAAATGTACAAGAGCAAAGATTAAATTTGCATACATTAGATAGTTCTCGTGATAACAATATCAGTCTTCTTATAAATTAAATTCGGCTCTTGGGGTCAGTTAGCGCAACATATAAGAAGTCCAAAGGGATGCAGATTACTCCCTCTATTCTAAAATAAATGTCGTTTTAGCAAAATGGAGAAATTCTAAAATAAGTGTCGTTCTCACATTTCAATGCAATTTTTGTCAAAAGTTTCCAAAATTACCCTCAAAAGAGTTGATGCTATTGGTGGACAATTTTATAATGGGATTGGTTGAGGATATTCAAGTAATTTTATTACCCTGTTTAAGAATTTCTTAAACTATATACAAAGTATAGGACGATACTTATTTTGGAATGGAGGGAGTAAATACATTTCTTTCATATAGTTAGATTATAGTTATGATAGTTACGTATTAATCAACCGTGACCAAATATCCACCACATGCAGGAGTATGCATATCAAATATGGGATATGAGAAGCACCATTAAATATTTTCGTCAATAATGCAAGAAGTTGAATGATATGTTGATGGGAAGTAATAAGTACTATCACGAGATCACAACACGTAAGAGATGAGAGATTTGCACTATAAATGTACGCCTAGCCCTTTTTTTTTAATTTATTTATGAGTATATTTACTGCTACTCTAGTGATCATTACTCATTACTATTTTTTTTTCCCCTGGGATGTTAAACTATTATTATTATTAATTGTATAATATTGCTCTCTCCTCCACACATAAATGAATCAGTCCCCACAAGGTTACAAGAAATAGTGAAACACACCATTCATGAAAAGAGAAAATCTTTCTAAAAAAAAAAAAATAGAAGAGAAAAATAGTTTAATAGCGTACTACTCCTTTTTTGACCCAATTAGAAGGTAGGAATTGAAATTAAACTTAATTTATATTGGTATTTTATAGGGAGGATTGGAGGGCATGGTAAGTACTAAACATGTGTAATTTATCATATAATTTCCTTTGTCTCATAAAAAAAATAACTTACATAACAGTTTTTTTTTTTAATTTATAAATTGTAATATAAACTATTTTCCTAACGGGAAGAGTACTGCCCAAATAGCAATTGAAAGATACCAAATATGTACCCATATGTTTAGAACTTTGTTCTTATTGTGAGTTCTTTCTATATTATGGGCACTTTAAGAAAATGGGGACAAGTCAGACTTGGTGGCATTCCTTTGGTGGACGTACGTGTTATAATGTCACCACTCACCAATGGCTTCTTAATTAAGAAGGCGTTTATAAACAAGAAAAGTGGACTTGACCCGTATACATAAATATGTCTTTGTAAAATGGACCGCCACACCAGAAGCTACCCTAAACTCCATTTCCATCAATTCATCATATAACAAATTTCCAACAAATGAAGGGAAAAACAATTCCTATAACAAACCCGTTTTCCCTATTACATACTTTTACTTCCAAACCTGCAAAGGATTTAATTTTTCACATATATAAGAAGAGGGAAAAAAAAAAAAGGCACATGACAAAGGGTGGTGCAGTATTTCTGTTAATTTGGCCATGTAGGTTTTATAAATCGGTGCTCAAACCAATCAAATTGCTGTGGAAAATTATAATTTTCTATGTCAACCCCAGAAGAAGTTAGGTCATTTTCCAATACAGAAATGAAGGGATGAATTCTCTTGCAGTTTGCCACACATTGGGCCTTATGCAAAAGGCCTAACTATGAACGTCGAGTCTATCACTGCATTACTGGGCCGAATGTCCACTATATATTAAAAAGAGGAACAGATCTCATCTGTACTGATGAAGTTTGTACTCAAGATGAACATCAGTTCTCCACCATTGATGAACTCCATGAGCTTGCTTGAATTCCTGACAAGGGCTTTTATTAATCGTGAGATACGCAGAAGGCACCAGATGAAACGCATCGCAATCATTCCCTCTCGCATTTGCAATCACACTCGCTATCGAATTCTGGGCCGCAATTCTTCCTATTTTCCCACCAGCCATACTCATCATCTTCTCCCTGTGATCAAAATGCCCAATGTATTCACAACAAATCGGATCGGATGGATTCACAAACATGTACGGAACCCAGGCCGCCAAAGTCAGGAACTCTTTATCCTGATGAGGCTTTATGGAATTGATGTTCACAGCAGCAGCAATTCCAGCAGTTAAGATACTGGTGGCGATCCGGGCTCCGTTTTTCAGCTTCTCATTCTTAATCTTCTCGAATGGGATTGAAGAAAACGGAGGATTGAATAGATATGTTTCGAAATGGATGCTCATTCTGACCATATGCCTCCCAACCAACAAAGCAATTGCGGAGCCTAATGAATGTCCAGCCACCCATATTCGGGCCGGATCGCCGGCTTTCCAAACAAGGTCCTGAACACATTGCAACCCGAGCTGGAACCTGGAGCTCTGCTGAAGAGTGCTGAGCATAAGCTGGAGATCCAGTTTCAAATCCTGGGTCCTGTTTCCCGGTTTATTGATTGTTCCCCTGAAAGCTACCACGTATTTCGGGTAGTTCTGGGTGAGATGGTTGTAGTAGTAGTGATCAGGGATTCTGAGTTCGTATATGCAGCCAAAGAAGGATTGATCATCAGGATCTATTAGAACATGGTTCAGTTGGAAATTGAAGAATTCCCACCAGGGTGGAGCCAGTGCATTTTGGCCATGGCGATTCTCCCGGCGGTCGCGTTCGATGATGTAGACGCCCTGAACTAAGCTAGCAGCTATAGACCTTCGGTGATGGGGGTTATTCCTGTACACAACAAACATATCAAGTGAAAACATAACGACACAAACTTACTCCCTCCCTCCGTCCCAAAATGACTGTCCAGTTTAGGATTTCACTTAGAGTACAACTTGTACTAAAAATGAAAACTCAAGCTCGACAATAATTTTGGGGCAAGAGGAGTAATACATTTGGTAGGATGTATACAATTAGATTTTTTTTTTTTTTTATAAACTAAAAAAGGCAAGTTTGCATCTTACCAATCGACAACCCTTAGGTGCAGAGGTCCAGAAAACCCAAAAATCTCTCTTTCAGAAGCCATTCGTGCGATGTATTGCTACTCCCTTATTGGCCCCCTAGTATTGAATAGATTTCAGACTGTGAAATAATCAAAAGAATGCATAAGCTAATAAATCTCCCAAAAGAATACAACAGTTTGGTCCAGAATGTGTTGTAGAAATATAGTCAACTAAAGAAATCCCCGTTGTAGCCGAAGGCTCAGAAGGCAGAAGTGAAGCTTCGAAAAAACTACCATTTCTCAAACCAAACAACTGAGACATTGACAAACCAAAAACCATATTATTAGTTGACAGATTTGTAGGTTCTGTACTTCTTTCTAGTTTTGTTGCTGCCCCAAAAACATTTAACATGTATATTTAAGACTACATCATATTGACTAGCTCGCCGAACTCAACTCAACAATGGTCAGCTTTTACATTGTTAAATGTCGCAGTACTAAGTTTAAATCTTTGAAGATTTAAATAGATTAGCATAATTAAAACAGAAGTACAGTCGCTGATAAACATCAACCTTAAACAGTGATGAGACGAAAATAGAATCTACGAAGTATGTTCATGAAAAGAAGAAGAAAAAAGAAAAGAGAAACGGAAACCTGAAAACTTACGCAAGGGTTCCAGATGATCTAAACCTCATCAAAAGTGGAAAATCACCATATTCTGCTTGTCGTTTTGCACTTTACTGATTTAGTTTGTCCTAATCATGAAAGGGGGGATATTGATAGGAAAAAAAGGAGATTCTTGGAAGGACCGGAGGAGAAAACTGGGGGAAGGGCAGGTAGGAGAAGAAGGTGCAACTGCCGAAAAGCCAATCTGGCCATGTCACAAACGGAGTTAAAAAAACAGACTTGCACAAGTTGGTCTTTATTTTTTCTTTTTTGGGTTCACCTTTAGTTGACTTTTGATCAGAAAGTCAATGGGTTTGGCATGAAAAGTTTCACGTCAACAAAGGAGTTTTGGAATGAGATTATGCAAACCACGAACAGATGAGGTTATGAGATTGTGACGGTGTTGATTATACTTCCACCATCACACCGTCACTAGCGATAGTGAAACAAATACTTTATTAACATATATGGGAGTGTAATTCTAATGAGTAATGAAACCATATTGTTTTTACTGTTGTGCATTTGGATTGAATCTAAGGATTGATAGTTCACATGTCATTTTTATGTTAGTAATATATCCCTGCTTCTAACCGGTCACTATTGTAAACTATTACTGTCCTCCTTTCTTTCTTAATTCAGCAACTTTTGATTTGATTTTTTTTTTGGAAGGTGGCAAAATATATTCTTTTCTCATCACCAAAGTTACCTAGAAAAAAATAAAATAAAAAAATACACAGCGTAGAGGCTCTGATACCAAATTAGAACTGCAATGAAAACAATATTTCTCATTAATTGAATCATTGTTACAGAGGGTGCCTTATATAATACTGAGACATAATGTAAAATTGTAGCATAAAACAAATACAAGTATCATAATAAGATTGATGAATCTTGTGTTCATCATTTTATAAAATCGATGAACAATATGTAACTTAATTTTTTTTTTAAAAAAAGGGGAAAAAAATAGAAAAAAAAGAAGTAAAAGTCTTTTTCAAAATATGCCCTACAAGGCTACAATTTAATCAATCACTAATAAGTCTGGTATATGATAGAAATCTATGGGCAATTTCGAAATAAACAACGGTGGAGGCTTCAATTTGTAATTATAAAAATCACTAAGGGCCGATTTGCAAAATCCGGGGTTTATCCTCTTCTGGAATTTTCCACTGCATTAGAGCGCCTTCTGTCAGTTTTCCCACTCATCAGGTTAGTAGAGCGGAGAAAAGAAGTAGCGCCGCCTGCGCTGCCTGAATATAAATCATTTCTTCAACTTCTTGGCCGCATTCAAACCAAATTAATTAGGGGAGCTTCAGAAGATCCCGAGCTCAATCATAAACCCTAACCCTAGCTCGAGATAGCAATTCGATCCAATGGCGATACTTTCCGAGTACGAAGAGGAGGATCAGAAGAAACCCACGCCGTCGGCGAGTTCGTCTTCATCAAAAACCAAGAAGCAATTCAACTCCGTTCTCGATCCGTCGAATCCCTTAGGGTTTTTAGAGGCGGCGCTGGAGTTCTTGGCGCGGGAATCGGACCTCTTTAAAAGCGATTCCCTAGTTCAGGATGTGAGCGCTGTGGTGCGTCAAGTGAAAGACAAAGTTGGTGCTGAAGAAAGGAGGAAAAAAGAGAAGGCCGCACTCGAAAAGAAAATCAAAGAGGACAAGCCCGAGGTCAAAGTTAAACAAGAACCTGTGTCGAAGGACATACAGATGGATGAGGCGAAGGAAGATGTGAAGGATGAAAATAAGGGTGCCCGAGGTACTCCTTTTTGATGTTTTGAAGCATATATATGTTTTTTTGCATTTGTATCCAAGACAGTCAACTCACAAGTTCAGTGTGTTTCTTTGCTGCAATTTTGTGTTTCGAGCTGCCAATTTGTTTTAAGGTACATTTATGTGGAGAAAGTAGTGGTCAGAGTCTAAGTCAGTTTAATTATTTTGTGTCAATGTTGCTTCAGAATTCTTTTTTTGAATTCCGATTGATTGCTACTGGCCACTTCAGTATGTTGTGCGGGTGCAATGGATGGGTCACTTACATATGTGATGAGTTGCTGCAATAAGTTAAGATTTTTATGAGGGAATATGGTTTTGTGTGGAGTTTAGGGTCGCTCTAGCTGTATAAGAAACTCGTGATTAGTAAAAGATAAATAACTTCAACCATATAGATTTTGGATATAGGTAATGTCAGGTATTAACGTTGCTGGAAGCCCTTTTCAACTTCTGTAGTTGCAGGACTTGTTCACTCCCTACTTTACCTACAAATAAAATTCACTGGTTTGAAGCTTAAGTTTCCCCGTTCAAGTTTCCAATTGCTAATCAAGTAATTCAGATATTGTACTCTAATTGTATCTCGATGCAAGCCTTATTATTGTCTTTGTTTTTTTTTTTTTTGGGGGGTGTTAAATCATGTGCATGCCTGCTAAATGTAAATTGCCATTTCGGTTCCTTTTTTTGCTTGAAGTTTCTTGTTGGGAGATCATCTTCATTATGTTTTTCTTGTGTTCATTTGTTTTATTGCCGTAGTTTTTTCATGGTGCAAGGAAATGCTTTCACATCTGCAGGCTTTAGTTTTAGTGCCTTTTTAGTCCTGCTGACTGAATCATATGATTCACTTTTCATGGTCGTTCTATGTAAGCAGCTCCGAACAAAGGTAATGGTCTGGATATGGATAAATATTCCTGGATTCAATCTCTCCAGGAGGTCACCATCAACATTCCTGTTCCCCCTGGAACAAAATCAAGGTTCATTTCGTGTGAAATAAAGAAGAATCATCTCAAAGTTGGCCTGAAGAACCAGCCTCCAATAATTGACGTATGTTTTGTTTTTTTTTTTATAATTGTATTTGAAATTTTTTTCTCAACCTCTTCTAAGCAATACTGCTAGGTTGATTATTCATCTGATTAGTTCTATTTTCTGTTTTTTTTTGCAGGGTGAACTTTATCAACCAGTCAAGGTAGATGATTCTTTTTGGAGCCTAGGTATGCGAACTTGGACCTTCACAATTTGCTTAGAATGATTCAAACTGTCCTGTTTTGGTTTCAGCAATCTTGCTGGCCATTTATAAGGAATGTTCTTCCAAGATATCATTTCATGCCTTAACTTCTTTGCTTTTAGCAGTTAATTGATTCCATGAATGAGATTTATTTTTTGGGGTTTGTGCAGAGGATCAGAAATCCATCTCCATACTCCTGACCAAACAGAACCAGATGGAATGGTGGAAATATCTAGTTAAGGGTGACCCTGAAATTGATACTCAGAAAGTGGAGCCCGAGAACAGCAAACTATCAGATTTGGACCCAGAAACCCGATCGACTGTAGAGAAGATGATGGTTAGTCTTTGATATTCTGGGGTGTGTGTGTTTTCATTATAATCACGTTCATTCTAGGTTAGACTACCTTATATATTTGAAACAATCCTGATTCAAATGTTACATTAACCATTTAAGTGCAGTTTCTGATTTACATTAGAACAAGAAAGTTGCATTGTCTCCTTCAAAGTTTCATCTTTTTTTAACGAAAGGAAGTGTACCCTCTGGTAGAGAACTTTACGGATGATCTCTGTTTGGCTTTACTAGCTTGAATGTCGGTTTAATTTTATGAATTTAAGAAAGCGGCTTGCAACTTAGCTAGTGCAAGTCTCCATTCTTTACTGTTACAGACTCATAGTCGCCATTCTTTGGGATAAGGCACATGTCATGTCCCATTTCAGTCATCTGTGTGCCCTACCTTTTGTTTAGGCCCTAGATGTTGATTGTGGAATGTCTTTGATTGCATTGTACAGTTTGACCAAAGACAAAAATCGATGGGTCTGCCAACAAGTGATGAGATGCAGAAAGAGGAGGTTCTGAAGAAGTTTATGTCCGAGGTAAAATGCTGAACTTTCGAGTGCCTTGAAATTTTTTATTGTTGAATAGGATATGGTCAATGATATTAAATTTGTACATATGCAGCATCCTGAAATGGACTTCTCTAGGGCGAAGATTATGTAGATCAAAGCGGTTTCTCTAGACATGGCTCACGGCTCAAATAGCTATGGTGGATAAAGTGGGTGCATCTTGGTTGTTTTGCTGTATCTGGTTAAGACTAGGCTAGATGTTTGGTCTAATTTTGTGGGTAAATGACCTTGCAACTAATTGGTGAATGTGTTTGTCATGTAATCCAGGAGTGTACGCTTAGGGATGGATGCGTTTGATAAATTATTGGTACTAAGACCTGCTAAGTGTGTTAGACGTGATGGTTAAACATTTATTTTGAGTCATCCCCCTAATATATGGAATTCCTTTGACTTCATTTTAGACTGGAAAGAGTCTTTCCATTTTTTGTGTTGGCCGAGGGAAGCTAAGGTGTTTTCAGTTCTGGATGTACTGCACTCTTTTATAAGGATTAAATGGCCTCCGTGTGTTTAAATGAAGGTTCTCCTTAAAAGTGTGTTTAAGTATTGTAAAGTGGTTTAATGTAGGACCGTACGTTTTGGTGCTTGTTTTTATATCTAAGTAGTGTGAGACAAGAATTTGTTGGAGGTCGATAGAAGGTAAGACTCTCGATGCCGACAACACTCTGTCGATGGAACGTTGTTTTATGAGATTTTCAACAATTCACCGTTATTAGTGATGGGTTGGGTCTAGTTTGGCCCACTTACAGGGTAGAGGGCCATCGGGGAGTATAATGGGCCCAATCAGTAGGATGTTTACCATCTGGGCTTTGAAAGTACATTGGAACCCTCTGGTCTAATTTGTTTTTATGTCTGGGATTAGAATTTGCTGGCGCACGGTGAGTTGCTGTTTTGGTGCGAATTGCTTTCTTGATAAATATATTTTCTCCGTGATAAAATAATTTGTAGTAGGAAAATAAAAATAGGAGAGGAACTTAAAATAGAATCGGTTTTGTCTTCCCATTATGTGTGGTTCGTTTGACAGGAAATGGAATCGGCCATGGGGGAGATGGAGAGAGGGGGTGGAGAGGCCTAATTAAATCACAATCTGCATCTCCCTTTCAACCAAAAGGGGATGGTCCCTTCTTTTGCCCAAATCAACCAACAACGTTCAATAATGTTGCACAAAATCAAAATCTAAGATAGGAGATGATAGTAATAATGCGTTTCGTCTTTAGTTCCGAACCTGTTTTGTCACTGTCCCGCAACTGGCCCCTCGACGGAAGATAAGACCTCGACGGCAATACAAAGTTCATGGTACCCGGCCAAGGATATAGATTTGCCATTCTAACTGTTTATCGGAAACAAGTTTTACAATTCTTCTGGCTGTAAATTCTTCGGGGACAAAGAAATAGGAATTTTTCAGTCAATTTCAGGTTGCCGAACCTATATGATAATATATCCGGTAATAAGTATCATTAGTTAGTTAATTAGTGCAAATTCCATCAAAACCAGGTCGTAATTACAAGCGTCTATATACTGTATATTTATTTATATACAGTTGTGTGCAAATGGGACAACAGAAGAAGGCAATGGTGGCCAAAAAGAAGGTGTCTCCATGCTCGGGCCTTCCGCAAGAAGTCGTGTGCATTTTTAGTTTGTTTTTAACATAATGCAACAACTCCTATTGCGACCACTCACTGGGGTAATCCACGCGTCTTCCTTTCCAAATTCGGCTTCAGAATGGGCGCCATGTAATCATCGCCGATTCACATTCATCTTTGTTGAATGCTGACAATCGTTTTGACAGAGAAATAATTTCTATGTAATATCGCTTATGGTGATGAAAGGAAGGCTCATAGAAATTGCCTCTATGATGATGAAGCAACCACTGGGTTGATTAAAAATGGCATAGGTTTACATGGAACTGACATAATCACAAATACATAGATTTCCCATATTAAGTACTGCTTCATCAATTGAAGAAATTTTTATTTTTACTTTTAATATAATTTATATTATAAACAAAAATCTAAACTTGACAATCGTTTTGAACCAAAAGATTATTATTTATTTTGGTTGATTATGATAACGTCCTGTAACAATTTTCATCGTCCTTTTTTTCCTTTAAAAATATGTCTGCAGATAGTTTTCGTTTGCCTTTCTTTGTGATCAGCAGCAAAAGTTTTTGAAATTCGTCATTTTTTTCCCTTCGGTAAAATTATTCCTTGTAATTTTATTTTTCTGAATATGTATTACTATTCTTTCCCTTAATGGGTATTGTATAAATTAACATCATGTTTTAGACATTTGATGACTTGGTAGTAATATCTTATTGGAACATGATTATTTTTTTACAACGCTTTTATTGATCGCTAATACTATTATTCCCCTACTAGGTTATGGACTCGTGCGACCGTACGGATTTGTCTTTGAAATCTTATTTTTTTGTTCATATCTAATGAATTTTAAATAGAGGAGAATGAAATTTAACTGTGATAAGCATTGAAAAAGTTGAAAATCAAAAGATAAAAGTAGTAAAATCATAAAAAGTATATATTAAAAGTGTTATTAAGATGTGGTTTTATCTCTGCCCCGGAGAAAAACACAAGAAAACATAATGAAATGACATGACAAGTCTTTTTTTTTTAATAGAATATAATTTGACAACATAAAATTTCAATCATAACATTTTGGACCAAATATAAGGTGATCACTACAATTGTGTGTTTGAAATCAAATATCTAATGTACATATTCGAAATCCCCTATATAAGTTTGGCAATTGCGTTTGAAATCAACAGGTGCTTTTCCTCCATAGCCTTTGTTGACAACATCTTTGTCTAGGACAAAAATTTTTGCCAATCTGCAAAATGAAAGCCCATGAATCGAGATGAATGTTATTGGAGTTTTTTTTTTTCTGAATAAGAGGGGGTGGAGGAGGGGAAGATATGGACCCGTGTAAATATAAGTTGCATTTATGCACTTTGATCTACTTCCCAAACTAACCAGCTGCAACCTAAACCAAAGGAACCATCTTGTTACGATCAAGACTCATGACCACCTTATAAATGCTGTATATATATAAATCCGCCTACAAAAATTAATAAAGACATGCACAGAAAAAGTATTCATAGGAAAGTGGATTTGAAAAAATTAGCATCAGCCATGGAACCAAATAATATATATATGCTGTAGATGAAATACCTAGCAGTTACAATTTGATATTGTTTTTCTCCATAACTAAAACAACTGATCCTCCACTTTCCGTCACAAAGCTTATTTTTTCCATTATCCACAAATCTATCTTTTTTTTTTAAGACAAAGTTCACAAATCTATCATGAAGATGTAAAAAGATGAAATACGTCGTTGGAGTTTGGATTTTCTTTTGGAACGACTAAAACATGAGATATTACATCAGAAACTTGAATACAAAGAGATAACTAAGAAAAAAGAAGATTACATGAGAATCTCATATCATGTTTTCTCCTTTGTCAAAAACAGGATCAACCATCGTCTTTCAATTTCATTGAAAAAAAATGAATCCTTTCAGAAATAACGCAAATTAATGCTCTAAATAGTCTGACCTTCAAAGTTCTCTTCGATTGGTAACTACCAGTAACACTTCTTCTTCTTAAAAAAAAAAAAACTACATGTAACAAACCAATCAAAAAACAAAAAAGAAAAAGAAGATAAAATTGAGCACTGATAGATCTAAAAAAGAAAGAAGAACGTGTAAAATTTACATCCTCATCCATCAATTTAAGAGAGCTCACATGAAGGAAGGATATGTATTATTGAAAATATAATGGGTTAAGACTCGCACAAAAAACTGATTCACTTTAATTTTCAATGTCAACAGGAAGAGAATTTTTTATAGGATTGGAATATTTGAGAGTTTGTTTTCGAAAACAAACAAAATCGATATAAAAAGAAAATGATGGAGAACGTGGGATCTTAAGGTGACAATTTCAATTTTATAGGAAACTGTTTGGAAGTCTCATGTGTGAAAAAATTGTGGTTCACTTGAAAGTCGAAACTCCTGAAGTCATTGGGGTAAAAATCACAAAAATGAATGAATGAATTATTGAATTACAGTAATGTAAATATTGGGATTAATTTTTTTTTTTTAAAGAATAAAAACGTTGAAAAGAAATTTCTTATATGAAGGAGAATACCCATCCAGAATACATCCATGAAGCATTAGTATCCCAGTTAAGTAAGGCCATGTTATTAAATTAAATCGGCCACTTGGATTAGATTGATGAACCATGGGGTGATTTATAAGATCAGTATGAGTTTCAGAAAAAAATAATAGGGGAAAACACAATATCGTTTAGATTCGAAATTAAGAATAGAAATAATTCCCTTATTTTTATTTATTTATTTTTTGTATATTTTTATTTTTTTGATTTAGGTGGGGAGACTTTTAAGGAAATAAAAACACTTAGATTTTTTGAGAAAAAATGATTTTTGTTATAATAGAGTTTATACATAGATAGATTATAGATTATAGATTGCAACCTAATAACGTTATTAGGTTTTTCTTCCGTTCGAATACAAACCTAATTCATCCGGTCAAAGAAGTCCCAAGTGGTGAAGTGCACACGATCACCACCACTTGTACCCAATTTATTATTTTTTTTAAAAAAAAAAGAAATGAATATAATAGTTATTAATCTATTTTTTCTTTTCTCTCTTCCCCTTTCTTTCTTTCATTCTTTATTTTGAAGAGCAAAGCCTTATAAGTAATTTGTTCGAGAGTAGAGTTCTTGCTAAATCAAAAAGAAATTGAAATTCATTTCCTTGTATTGGGGACCTTTGGTCATTGGTCCTCAATCCTCATCCGTGATGAAGAAGTAATAGTAATGAACTATGGTAGCATTAACATCATCATTGATATATTTCTCTTTAGTGTGTAGTACATTTGCAGCCAGCACGGCAGTACAAAAGTACACACGTAGTAACTAACCCGTCGCGCGCTGTGTTGAAACCTTTGTTTTTCTTTTTTTCCTAGTATTCTCCATCTTATTTATGAAATATAAATTTGAATTTAAATTTAAATTTGTGACTCAGTAAATAAGTAGGATCAAAGTGAGAGTTTTTTTTTTTTAATTTTTTAATTTTCTTTTTCGGAAAACGAAAAGGAAAAGAAAAAGGAAAAAGAAAACCTCCAATTTTGAAGGTTTTTGGGTGGCCGATCCATTGTTTTGGTTTTTCTTTACCAATCATGGTTTTGGGATGCACTGAGTTATGTCGGTTTAAAGCTCCCCACCAATCAGGTAAATGAAAACTGACACTTTAACGTCAAGTTCATATTTGAAGAATAATAATGGAGCATATGTATGCGTCCAATAAATTATTAACCGGAAATAAAATAAAAGAGCTATCATTTTGGTGGGCTGCTTATGGAAAGCAAGTGGGCGTGATGAACTTTTACGATCGAATCCAACAGTAGTAAGGGAAGTACATCGTGCATGTTGACGATAGACGAATAATGGTTTCAGTAATTTAAAATTCTTAGGTCTCATTTTTACTTTAAATTTTAATATATATGTATATAGGTTCAGCTATTAGGGACATTTGATGGGGATCAACGATGATGCATACGTGCACAATATTATTTCATACACTTATGTGTTTTTATAAAGTGATTGATAATAATTCTCGATTTATTTCTCGTATGAATGTAAAATTCATTAGAAATATGAGAAGTTTTACGTTTTACACCTCCATGTAGTTTTCGGGTTATGAATATTATTTCTGAAAATGGAAACACCATACAATAGATCCTTCACTCAAAAGCTCCTCAATTCCATGCTGCCAAAGGGATGGAGTAGAGGTCCTACATGTCAAGTACGATAAGGTGGAGTTGCTTTTGTTTTTTTGGTTTGATGAAAACATGCATGCTCTCAAATTATTTGGATGCACACAGAAAATGCCATATTGCATTCACAACTCAACAAGCGTAAGTGCCCACTTTATTCCAAAGTTCTTGCATCTCTAATAATT